TCAGAATTTGCTGTCAACGTTTTCATGACAAAAATACTGTTTTAAAGTGACAAAAAGTGATCGCGAAAAATCCGGAAGTTACCATGAAACAGCTAGCTAGCTTAGCTGTTACCTGCCTAGCACGTCCCAGTGAAACCTTTGGGAGCTAACTATTTTATTCGCAGTCATTAAATACATTTCTAATTATAAGGGTTGTCTAATATTTGTTCAAATATGTATATATTTTTTATTTTAGAATTATATTCGAATTTTGAAGTTGAAGCCCTGGTGTTAAGCAGCGCTGTAGGGGCTAGAGGACGCAGGCTGCTCGCTGCTCGTTCTGTGAGTGGAGGAGAAAGAGCGGCCCGCTCAGACTCTACTCAGCACTTTTCACTGCTTGAATTTCATACACAGTGGAATCAATGACCTCAAGTTTTCAATTAAATTATGTATTATGATACAACTTGTATGTAGTAAAAAGCATTTTTATGAACTACTTAGAAAAAAAATCGGGTATAGCTTCTTTAAATAAGTTGATCTTTGCTTATAACTGCACCAAAACAGAAGTAACTGGGTTTTCTCCCTTCTACTTATTGTATGGTCGTTCACCAAGATTACCCATTGACATGTTGTTTGACTTACCTGTTGGGGCAGGAAGGGGTAGTCAACTTGAATATGTGGACGAATGGCGCAAGGGAATGCAGGAGGCATATAACATTGCAAAGGAAAATGCACAAAAAGCTGCTCAAAGAAACAAAAAGACGTTTGATGCAAAAGTGAGAAGCTCTCTGTTGGGTCCAGGTGATCGAGTGCTGCTGCGCAATATGACACCTCGCGGTGGCTCGGGGAAATTGAGAAATCACTGGGAAGATCACGTCCACATTGTAGTCAGACAAGTAGGAAAGGATGTCCCAGTGTATGAGCTCAGTCCAGAGCACGGAAAAGGCAAAACTAGGGTACTTCACCGGAATCTACTTTTGCCCTGTGATCACTTGCCACCGGAAATAAAAACTCCTTCACCTGTGAAACCAAAAAAGGACAAAACTGTGGAGAAAACTTCAACACAAGATTCGGAGGATGAAGAAGACGAATACTATGTCCCAGTGTCAACTGTACGAGGACAGCCGGATATGACAGAAAATGACTGTGAGCCTAACATTAATCAACCATCAGAACCTGTCCTGCTTCAGCTTGAGGACGCCGCTGGAAGTGTGGATGTGCCGGAAAAGGATGCAGACGATATGGAGGGGTCTTTGATTGGGAGCACGCAGGAAGAAGAGCTGCAGCGAGAAGCTCCACGCCCACAAAGAAAACGTAGGGCGCCAAGAATGTTCAGATATGACTCACTCGGGACTCCGTCATGCTATTATGTTGATGCAGTTACACCTTATGGGCCTCCTGCATGGCATGTGCCAATTTTCTCGCAAACTCTTACCTTTGTGGGATTTGATTTGAAACAAATTCAAATTGGACAATTGTTTGGTACTAAGGTCAATGTTTTGTTATTGTTACTCACTGGTAATTTGAGGATGCAACCAGTTGTTTCATGCTTTTGCAGGTTCTGTGTGTTTTGTGTTTGTACCTGTGACTTGGAGTACTACTTACGGAAATGTTGCGGACAACATTTATTTTTGTGGGGGAGTGTGTAACTAGATGATTTTAGTTGTTAATGCAGTTACGTGGAGTGTCCAGCAGGGGGAGACGTTCTTGAGCTTCACCTAGGCTACGTCTTTCCTCATTCATAAACCAGCAAGGCTTGAGGAAAGACGTGTCCTGGTCTTATTTTTATTTTATCCCCTTTTCAGGTATGGTATGATATGCAGAATCTCATAAACCAGTCATTATAACTAATGATCGAAGGGTACACGAATCCGTGTACCCTTCAATCATTAGTTATTCCGTTTCAAAACAAAATCAGAAAAACAAATTTTCCATTCCTTTATTGTTATTTTCCTTTTCTAAATTAAATTGGAAAATCAAAACATTCTAAATGAAATATTCACCCATTTCTTTGTTATGCAGTGGAAACAAACACTTACTGTATACTTACTGTATCCCAGAGCCTCATGCTGCTAATGTCCAGATGTAAACATACAACTGTATATGTCTTCTCTAGATTATACAGGATTCATGCTTCTTTATAATGCAAAATTTAATTATTTTATTCTTTATTATGCTAAAGATATATACATTATACATACTTCTCTATCATGCTATAGCTAGATATTTTATGATCTTTTTTTGTTGTTGCAGACAATATGAAGACATTTTCATTCTTTCCTGGCCGCGTCACTGTGATTTTTCGCAAGGGCCCACGTGGATTCCTGCTGCAGGACCCTTCGGAGGAGGCGAGGAAGATCAGGGACGACCCGTCCATGAGGGAGTGCGGTGCTCCTCTGAGGGAGGAGGTGGTGAGGGAGAACGCCCTCACTCTGGTGCGAGTGAGAGGAGGTGATGCCTCAGACAAGGCTGAAGTGCTGGGGAAGTACATCGCTCACAGCAGGCAGTAAGACCAGCACAGTGCCTGCTGTCACTCTATGGCCTCCTCAGACAGCAGTGACATTAGAGAAGGTTGTGCAGCGGATCTTGGAAAAGCAGCAACAGCCTCCAGCAAATAAACCCCACACAAAGAAATGCCTGTCTTGTGGCCAGCCAAAATCCAAATATGAGGGCGATGGCAGCTCCATCCACGAGTTTTACTAGCAGGGTCCTACCAGGTATTTCTATTGCTCCACCAAGGTCTATAACACCTATCGCACAGAGGGTTTGACCAACTCCAGGATGCCATTCCGAGACTTTATGGATACTGAGTTCTGCCAGAGAGAGCTGGAGGCCACGCAGCAGAGAGTGAATGAGCGGCAGGAGAAGAAAAGGAAGAGTGATGAGTCTCCTGCCACTGGGAGAAAGTGCGGGTTCTGCAAACTGCAGCTGAAGCAGGGACCAAACAGTCCTCACATTCATACACAATTCCCTGGTCTGTCAGGAAAATACATCTACTGCCCTGCCAAAGTATTCTCCCTGTACAAGGACCAGGGGATGGAGACGCAGATGTTCCAGCAGTCTCCTTTTTATGACCGGGAGAGGGAAAGGTGGCGTGTAAATAAATGAGCTATCTGCTGTCTATTGGTGCTATTGTATATAGTTACTATATTATACCTGTCTGTTCATAAATGTTTATAAATATTCTAATTATTATGTAAATATATACTTAATATTGATTATATCTAATTATATAATTTCATTTGTAAAGTCTGCATCTACAGTTCTGTATAGTCAGCTCTCAGCCGTCACAGTCACAGGGCTCATCACACAAACACTAGTTTAAGAAGATAAAGATAGCATGTTGTTGTTTTTCTTCTAAGTGTATTTCTTAAATTTGTAAATATCTCTTTTTTCATCTGTTCACAATAAATATATTATAATGTCATACATTATTCAAGTCTTTCTTTTTATTGATCATATTTCAGGGCAAACAGTAGTATTTGACAAAACAATCTGTATAGAAAATAGAGTTCAGTGCCAATCAACGATATGCCCACTATACGCGGCTGGCCCCCGCGGCCCGACCTTGCCTAGCTTCCGAGATCAGACGAGATCGGGCATTCTCAAGGTGGTATGGCCGTAAGCACGGGGGTATGGAGCAGCGTGCCTCCTGACCCTGCTGCTGCGGTCCTCTCCTCCCCCAGAATGAGCGCTCAGGCCTGGGTCTGAGCGGGAGCAAAGCCCTCCCCGGTGATAGTCCAGAACCGGAGGAGTGCGTGGGTGAAAACCCCGTGTCTCTAGCACCCCTGGTTCGTTTTTGACAAGCCCTGGAAGCCGAGGTTCTCCTCCCCCAAAATGAGCGCTCTTGGGCGGATGGTAGACGCGCGGTCCCCCGGTGGTTTCCAAGGGCCATAACTTTCTGGTCCTTTATCCCCCGCGCGTCAAATTCACACCGCGGGTAGGACCAGGGTAGGACCAGGGGAGTCCCACCCCCGCGTCTGTAGCCCCCCTTCCGCGAGGTCTCTTCTCTCTTCCGGTGTCGCAAATAATAATAAAACGAAATAATAGTAATGCCATAATTCTTTTGAGAATTTTAAACAACTAGAGCCAAAACAAACACATTGATATTGAAGCATAAAGGATTTGATTTTCCAATTTGATTTAGAAAACTAAAATACCAATAAATGAATGTACCGTGTACCCTTCGGAATGATCGAAGGGTACACGGATTAAGGGTACACGGATTTACACGGATTCATAATAATCCGAAAAACAAATTACGTGGTTGTTTTATTGTATTTCCATTTTCTATATTAAATTGGAAAATCAAAACATTCTAAATAAAATATTCACCCATTTCTTTGCTATGCAGTGGAAACAAACACTACTAAAACAACTTCCATTATTTTGTTTGATATGATATAAGTACAGTTATAAGGACCACACTGTGGTCTATTATGGCGCAGACTCCTGTCACTGATAATGTCCAGTGAAACAGACACAGAACAAGGACTTCTCTGAAGACCTCTGGCTAGGCTCTGCTCCTGCTTCGCGTTGCTGCGCCGCAGGTGTTTTACCAACTAATTTTACTCTAATACTTTGAAGATAACCATACCCACAAAGGCCGCTCATATTAAAGGCACACATGCCCACTAACTCCTACTGAAAAGTATTAACAAAAATCACCGCAATAAACGTGTGTGAAATTTTCTGGGGCACCCCCCCCCCACACAACCCACGGTCCCGGCTACTTAGATCAATGTGATTTTATTCTGTGTTGCATGTTCCACATCAACTTGTTCTATAACTGCTCATTTGTGATGGGCTGTTTCTCTAATCCATTAGAAACATAACAGGTCCAGGAAAAACTACTGCACTGCCCCCTTTACTGCAAACCACGACCATGTGCATATCAGTCAAACAAGAAAGATAGATAGACACTTTGTTGATCCCCTTAGGAGAAATTCAGGTGTCCAGTAGCAGCAAAAATAAAATTGATCATTCTAAAAAGTTAATAATAGTATTTATCAGCTACAGACCTTCAGGTCACAGCAGCAAAGATGGAGTAGTCTCTGGGTGGAGCAGGACGGGTCACAGAAGCAGAAGTGGAGTCGTTTCTGGGTGGAGCAGGACGGGTCACAGAAGCAGAGATGGAGTAGCCACTGGGTGGAGCAGTATGGGTCACAGCAGCACAGATGGAGTAGCTGCTGGGTGAAGCAGGACAGGTCACAAGGTGAAGAAGTCGCTTGGTTTGGACAATTAAAATGTGGAAAAATGCATCATCTGTATGTATAATTTTGATAAAGAGTGGTAGGGCACTTTTTTTTAGAATTAAACGATTAAATGTTCAGATCACTAAAAGGCTCAATGTATGTAGGCATATCATGATTTACATTTAACTATTCAAACAGGAAGTACCGTTGAGATTCAGAATACATATTTCCTTTTAATTCTGCAATTGTTTGAGTCATAAATCCTCTTCACAAAATGTTTTAATATTTGTATTAATGAAATACAGATTAAGCAGTAAACAAAATAGTTGACCATCTCAATTTATTGGATACATCGATTAACTTTTACTAGCGTTACATAGACGCAGTAAAAGTCAATACAATATATCCTACAGAGTAAACATTAAGTAATAAAAGATGTGCAGCGAGCTTCGTTTCACAGTGTAAACTAATAACTAATTGCATAGTAATTTAACTATAATTTAATGAAAGCACTAACGCAAACAAGTCTCAACTTTTTTTGTACATTTACTTTAAACATTACGGCGTAGAGAAGCTTCAGAGTAACATACTATACTAGCTCGTTTCAAATAGCACAATTAGCGTTAGTTAAATGCCAAGTGGCTGCAATCTAAACCAGTGCCAGCCCCATATGGCAATAAAATAATCAACTAGCTTAGCATGCTCAGATTAGCGTTGCACAAAACAAAAGATTAAACACATTGTATAACAGCGCGATGGATTAACAGGAAACGCGTAAAACGGGTATATGCGTATAACTCTGACATAAATTGACATTTAAACCCGTATGAACAGACTGACCTGGTAGATATGATGCTTGTTCCCCGGTAAAACGCAACACAAACAACCGTTACAGCAGCTAGGGTTAGCATTAGCCGTAAGGACCACTGCGGTGACGTCAAATGCAATCTGTGCGTTTTGGGTTTTTGCCTGAATAAAAATATGGCTGCATCCAGATTCATAAACAATCAAATCCTGGCTTCCTCGTTCTTCCTTCTTCTTCACAAAACCTGTAGCTACCTTGTCTCAGACATAGACAATTATAAAGAGCAAGGAAAGATAAGGAGAGTTGTCCTATAAATTTTAATACAGTCATGTTCTTCCTTTTGATAAATGATTAAAGGTAAATAGAAAGATGTTCCCAAATTTTAGGAAATAACTGCCTTCTCCACTTTTTGAACAAAACTTATTTGACGAGCATGAAAACACCAGGAGTCCTGATGATCCACTCGGAAATAGGAAATCCTCGTCTATACCTTTTAACATAGATCTATCGTTTCGGGGAACAGTCAGGAATAAACAATTGAAATCATGTTAACTAAGATAAGTGTAAATACAGCTTGAGAATTAACTTTGACCCGTAACATCCCTTATTTTGTTTTGTATTGAATCATAAATATCTTTTACCATTCAAAAGATTCAACTACAACATAGATACATAGAATGATTATATTCTTTCAGATACTGGTATCTTTATTCCACATTAAAAACTATTGTCAGAGTTTTAAATGTGTTATTATTATTAGTATTAATAGTTAAAAGGGCTATTATTTATAAAGACAAAGAGTGAAACCCTTTATTTTGAAACTTTATTTCCTCGCAACACAGCAATTTATATTGACAAAAATACATAAAAAAAAACGAGAGAAAAAGTATGCAACCAAATACCAAAACCTCTTTGAACCCTTGGCTATAACAAGCTTGTTGCACTCACTACACCTTGAAGAGATGTCTCTATTTGATTCAGAGGGATGATCTCAGATTTACTGCTATTCATTATGGTCATCAAGTAGACACAAGCTAATTAATGTGTTTATAAGTGATCTATAAAGAAGGAAGTAGACGTATGATCCTCAAACAGGGAGGAAAGGGTGTGACAAACGTTTTGACCAAACACCTGCAGAGGATCAGCGATTGACTGTGCTATGAGCATTGGATGGCAGCTCTCATTGACCCAGAAATGGACTAATAAAGGGGTTGAGAATGAATGAAGAAAGCCTAGTGTTAGCCCCCAGGTGTCATTAGAATGCTTGATATCTCCAGTAACTTCTTTAACAGCCAAAATGTATGCACCATGTAAATACCACTTTGTTGAACCTTAACAGCATGAAGTTGTCATTATCTCTTCATATTCAGAATAGGACTGGGTGAACATTTATAATCAAAATGTAATTTTATCAAATGTTTCGATTGATCAATCTCAGTATGACATTTTATTTCATTTTGGCAATCACATTTTTATCAAATAACCCGTAAAACATTTACAAAACAGAAATTATAACAATTCAGTTATTACATTTTTATCCTGCCCCTTCCACTTCACACTGTTCCTAAGTGTACCTAAAAAAATTACCAAATATTTCTTCCTGAAAATTCAGATTTCTACTGCAATCTCCTTTTGTATACGTATAGATAGCTTTATGTGTTTTATGTGGAACATTCCTCTAACACAGTGTCTCCCAAAGTGGGGTCCGCGGCCCCCTGGTGGGCCGCGAGGGTACTGCAGGGGGGCCGCGGGAGGTCATAAAAAAAATATATATATTTAATTTTAAATTTATAATCTTTTGTTTGTAATATTAAAATATTTGTGTTCATTATTTGACTTGAATAATCCACTGTAATCATTTTTGTAATACAATGTTTGTAGCAGAGGCTATTTCCCCAAAATAAAATAACCAGAAGAGCCTATTCTTAATGTTGTCTTCTTGGTTATTATTTTGGGGGGCCACGCAGACCCGTCAGATTTTTAAGGGGGCCTCAGTGTTACTGAGTTTGGGAATGGCTGCTCTAACACATAAGTGAACTAGTGCGCCAATCCTTTTGACTGAGAACTGATATTGTTTCTTTAACATCTTCTTAATGAAAGCAATATCAAATCTTCAGATTATGGATTACTTCTCTTCATTCCCCTTCAATGTGCAGCTAAGGATTGGAGGAGGCAAAAAACTGGAGGCCCCATTTTCTTTTATTCATTAGGCCACAGAAGGTTTCAACTACCAGGATTTATGGTGAAACAAAACTAAACACATCTTTAACTATATGTTAAATAAATAAATAAAGACATATCACCATCACAGAGGCATGCCCCATTTGTTTAGCTCTTGACCAATTGATTGATGACACTTGACTTGGACCCGTTTTAAATTTGACTGAAGAAGCTAATTAATATCATGCTCGTTAGCTTATTAGAGCCTATCCTTAAGTGTCACCCCATGTGTCATCGCTTCAAAAGTTAGCAATTAGTAGCACATATACAGCATTCAGCAGCCATTCCAACACAGGAAACACTAGCAAGCTCACAGTACAGAAATAGACACGATATCATATAATAGACCAAAAGTTTGGACACACCTTCTCATTCAAAGAGTTTTCTTTATTTTCATGACTATGGAAATTGTAGATTCACACTGATGGCATCAAAACTATGAATAAACTCATGTGGAATTATGTATGTACTTAAAAAAAAGTATGAAACAACTGAAAATATGTCTCATATTCTAGGTTCTTCAAAGTAGCCACCTTTTGCATTGGTTACTGCTTCGCACACTCTTAGCATTCTCTTGATGAGCTTCAAGAGGTCTTCAAACAGTCTTGAAGGAGTTCCCAGAGACGCTTAGCACATGTTGGCCTTTTCGCCTTCACTCTGTGGTCCAACTCACCCCAAAACCATCTCAATTGGGTTAAGGTCCGATGACTGTAGAGGCCAGGTCATCTGGCCCAGCACCCACCACTGTCCTTATTGGTCAAATAGCCCTTACACAGCCTGGGTGTGAATCTACAATGTCAGTAGTCATGAAAAGAAAGTGTGTTCAAACTTTTGGCCATAAATATACATATATGCATTGCATCAACAATCATTCCTATGAGAAAAAAAATCATCATTTAGACACTGATGTAGTACATTTAACAAGATTATGCAGCATCTTTTCAAAGATAGTCAATTTTTGGAGAAATAATGAATAAAGTGCTTATACATTTCTCCATTTCAAGTGACTACAGACAATTTTGTCATTCACAGAGGCGGTTTTGGAGAAGACAGGACTATTGCAGGGCTCAAACAGAGCAATTAAAGTGTATGGTCGATCTGATAGTGTGGTGAAGGGCTGTTTTGGAACACAAATGGCACTTGGCCGATGTGTCTCCTACCACTATTGAACTTGAAGGAATTGTTGAATCTTTATAAAGGCTTAGTCCAAAAAGCAATATATTTGTGAATTTAAGCTCTGACTGTTTGAACAATATAATTACATTCTCTGCAGATATGGATTGTTTATTGCACGTTTTGACCATAGGCTGTAAATATTAACGGACGTAGTCACGCCTATCTCTGCCGGGCCAGAAAATGAGCTCTACTGGAGCTATCCAAAATGGCCGCGAGTGGTCCCGCCCACATGAAAATTGTGAAAAAACGCATCTGCGCATGCGTCAGCCGGCGCAAACTCCATTCATTTCAGAATCAGAATCAGAATCAGAATCAGAATCAGAATCATTTTTATTGCCAACGTAAGTAACGGGAGGTGACTTCAAAAATTCAGAGCAAGTAAACTAGAGTGGTCCAAAAAAAATCACTCCCCTCAGTATTGTAACATGTGGAACGGAGCTTTGGGCCAAGAGCCAACTTTTGGACCATCCTGTAAAGATGTTTTCGAGGGGTAAGAAGATGCTATACGTTAGCATTGGCTAATTCTTATTCCGGGTCCACCCCCATCAGCCCGGGGTGGTATTGCAAGCATGTCAGCGCACGTCATTTTGGCCACTTTTGAGCCGACACCCGCCCCCACTGGTTTTGACACAAGAATATATTTAAATTTTAGGAACAAGTGAACACATTCAGAATTGAGGTGACTGTGATAATCATATAGCACAACTCTGATGTTGCATCAATTGCATATTTCAAAATATTACATAAGCTAAATTTTACAACGTGTTCTTTCAAGCCAGATGATGCCCTGCTGTATGCTGAATTATAACACATGCAAGGGGCCATAGAGAAACAAAGAGAAGTGAAAAAGGCCGACTACTGTGGCTGAAAAGACACATTACAACCATATTGTTTTCTAAGGCACACTAAACTATATTGTTTGTATTCTTCATGCATTTATGGACCTTTGTTTGACCCTTACAACAGCCATGGCCTCCCCTTCTCGGATTGGTCGACACAAGTACCATATAGGCAATCAAACATTCAAGTTCCCCCAGCTACTTTTTACATTTTCTAAAACCTTTCACAATAAAAATGAATGATTCCAGTTTTCATATTGGCACCTCTTTTAACATCTTTTCTTCGATGGTCGCAGTAATTTTGTCGGTCTTGTTTAATGCATTTTCAGAGATGTGTGTCCTGCTCCTCCTCTTCCTCCTCTGTTGCCCCCTGGTTCACAAACACCTGGGAAGAAAGTCAACAACTTCTACCATAACTCTAGTATAGATTTGTTTTTCAATACTTTCAGTCATGTGATGTCTATTTAAAAGTTATATGTTTGTATATTATAGATTTTCCTTGCTGATGCAGGAGGGTCTGAGTGCACAAGTGATGATCCAGGACGCTAACATTCTACAACATGTTTGGACATTTATTGACATTTAACAAAAGTCCTCTGAGATAACTACTGTTGTGGTTTAGGGCTATATAAGAATACAGTAAACTGAATTTAATTATCTGTCTTGTAACTAAACATAATTCTAGTCACCAGTTTTAGAACTCAATTTATTTTCAGTGAACTGTAGTCTCTATAGTTCGCAATACAATCTATACCAATGGAAGGGAGGGAATAAAAAACATCTTTAAGCAGAAATATTAGGCATTACTTTTGGCGTTTAAAAATATAAAGAGACTATATATTTTGCCATTACATGTTTTAGAATGTGAAATATCAGAAAATACACGGTGAAACAAGTAATATGAGTAAGACATGCCTTCTGTCTATAACTCTTTATGCTGCCACCAGAGGCTGCTCAACCCATTTAGGCTGGGAATGCATTCCCGCATTTCTACCTCTCGAGCTGCTGTTGCGCACTTCTACCCTGTTGTTTGCGTTACGTACTCGAACGGAATTCCACAATCTCCGTTCTGACCCCAACTGTGGCCGCTTTGATAACAGAGCTCAGCGAACGCACGCTGTAATGTGGTACAGAGTGCGGACCATAGATGGCGCTTGTTGCACTAAGGGTCTTGCCCGTCTTCTCCATGTCTCCCTGTGAGTTATTATATGACTTTTCGGGAGAGGATTACTTTGTTTTTTCCACACAGTTAGTGCCACTGTATTGCTAAACTCTTATTAACTTATTGTATTGAGAAATATGTGTTATTCTCGCATTATTTTTGGTTGTTTTATTATTTTTCCTGTGTGGAAGTTGTTTATTTTTTATATTATTCTACTGAGGGTTTATAATAATACTCTCTATTCTTATTGAAACCTAGATGTGTCAACTCTCAAATTCTTTTGGAATTATGTTTCTATCTGCTACAGAGGATGAGATATCAATCATTTAGGAGACGTTGAATTTCAGGGTGATTCTAAAGTTGGCCATAGGTTTTACAGGTATGTTTTACCAGGTGTGGGCGAAAGTGGCTAAGCTGGTAAAGCATTGGCCTGTAGGTCGTGGGTTCGAGCCCACCACAAGACCTTCTCCACTGACTCCCACTGATGTGTGCTGTCGTTGTGTCCTTGGGCAAGACACTTAAATACACAGCTGAAGTTGGACTATTGACCCCGGGTCAGAACACTGCGGCCACGGAGGATGCAGAGTACCGTTCGAGTTCATACAGCAAACAACAGCAAGTGCCCCGCGATCAAGCGCATATTCTTTTTACATTTGAATTCCCAGAAGGCCTAGCTGCTCTGTCGCCATCTTATACACGCATGTGTCCGCGGCATTCTGCGTGTTATTATGGGATGCATGGACGGGTCATTTGGAGCAAAGACATCATACTGAAACAGGAGGTAAGAAAGAAGAATGTTGCAACATGATTTAAAGAGAGAAAAAGTCAATTTTGCTCTTTAAGGAGATTCATCAGCAAAAATTTAGATTAAGACCTCAGAAAGCCTTTGGTTATATATTGTACCAAATAATTATGAAATACAGCCTAATTATTCAATATCGTTAAGAATAAAACCTTTCCGTTTGTCTTTTGACTCCAGTTTGGTCCTGTAGTATTTATGTCCATATTATCTTTGAGTCCAATCTGTCTTTGAAGCTTCAGGCTGAAGTACCCATTATCCCCCACAAATGATAAATATTGTTTGTCTAACAGAACATCAGACAAAATTTAGTATTTCATACTGTGCCCTTTGTCAAAACTGGGATACAGTACCTACATTTTAGACTTGAATCTTGTAGTAAAGTAAAATTATGTTGTCATTATCTTATTAGAAAACTACAGACCAAAATTACATGCATGTGAAAACGAAACTGTTTTGAGAGCTAGCAGCATAGTTGGTTGGATTTCATCACATTGATTAATGTTTGCGGTTTGAAACCTGTTTAGAAAGGAGGTATGCTTCCTAAATTGTGATGGAAGCCTACGTACCTGCCAGCGTCTCCCCTCCTCTGCCCCCTCATCTCCCCCTCCTGCTGTAGTCCCGCCTCCTGAACGTTGTTGTAGTCCGTTTGCACTGACTTTCTTCTCCTGCATGTCGCCCTGATTGTCATTGGTGATGTCAAGAGTGGGGTTATCATGACAAGCATTCTCCACAAAGTGTAGCTCCTCAGCTCTGAACTGTGGACCACATTTATTCAGTTATGTTTAAAGAAAGAACAACAGCAAATAGCAAATAGCAACATACAGTACATACAGAATTCAGCAGCCATTCCAACACAGGAAACACAAAAAAATATATACATGTGATATATTTTGGTTAAAGCTGCACTAACTGACTTTATTTTCGTATTAATTACGAAAATGCTATCCATGTCCATGTAGTGCATTGGGATATACGTCCTTTTGAAGAAAAAGTAGCGCAGATTTGTGCTGGCCTGACATTATATTTTCGATCGAGTTTTGATGAAACAAGGAAGAGAATGTGTTTCGGGTCGCAGATTGTGACCAATCACAGCGCACCACTAGCCCCCACTTTCGTGAGAAATCTCCAGGTCCGTTAGCACAGACAGCTGAGTTAGCAGAACAAGCGGCGGAGCTAACCTGAAACTTTCTCGTCTTCGTCACCGGGTACTGCTTACACAGCGAAACAGCCATCCAAAAGAAAGTCTCGTTCCTCCGCGCTTCCCGGTTCTATCGTTCTATGGTCACGCCATCCACGTGAAAATCCATATCCATGTATTATCCATATTGGGAGAGGCTAGCTCCGTCTCAACACTGTGTGTGTGTGGGGGGCGATAGCTTCGTGGGTGCGGGGAGGGGAGCAGAAAGAGCGAGGCCAGCGAGTCCGCGGCTTCAAAATCCCAAAGTCAGTTAGTGCAGCTTTAAGGCATTGGACTTAAGATCCAATAGACAATGGTCCTTATGAGTTCAAATCTCACACCTGGAAGAATATTTTTTACATCCCTACTCTCGACATGGAGAAGCAGCAACTCCTCACCTTATCTCTAAGGGAGCCACTCTGCGGAGGAAACTCATTTCGACCGCTTGTATCCTCGATCTTGTTCTTTCGGTCATTAGCCAAAGCTCAGGACCGTGAGGGAGGGAACGAAGATTGGCCGGTAAATTGAGAGCTTTGCCTTCCGGCTCAACTCCCTCTTTAGGAGGGACCACGCTGCACCCATCCGCCTGTCAATCTCACGCTCCATCCTTCCCTCACTCGTGAACAAGTCCCCGAGATACTTGAACTCCTCCACTTGAGGAAGGACCACTCCACCCACCTGGAGAGGGCAAGGCACCTTTTTCCGGTTGAGCACCATGGCCTCGGATTTGGAGGTGCTGATTCTCATTACTGCCGCTTCACACTCAAACATGCACTGGGATGGTTTTACAATTGAAATTTCCCCATGGAGGGACAAATACATCTTATATTATCTCTTGAATGTTGACACTAAATTTTTCACTTTTATGCCAAATGAATATCGCCTCTATATACCCGGTATCCACCTCCTTGATCATTAAATATTGGTATAAACTCTGAAAGCCCCATTAAAACACCAAGGGTAAATATGATATTGTAGAAACATGGCATGTTGGGTCTGGTCACTTACTGAGGTCTTGGCGGGCAGGCGTCTTTGCCAGCAGATGTAGATAAAGCCAGCGGTGATGATGATGGTGCACACAGAGCCGATCATGACCAGGACCACAAACAGTTTGCCGTAGTCACTCCGGGTCTGACTGGGGCGAGTCTGGCAGCTGGAGGCTGAGCTGTAGTTCTGAACACCCACCTACAGGAGACGCAGGCATATTTACACTCACATAGTGTATGCGGAGAGATTACGTCGGGGTAAGGGCAAACATTGATAGTAATAGGTTAATATGTGCTATACATGTTATCATTTTAAACCTAATTTCCTCAAGAAAACAACCATAACATTTATACTATACTATACATTGAACCCAAAAAAATAATCAACCAATAGGCGCAAAAGTAGTAGAATCACTTCATGAATCAAGGTCACTTTCTATAAAGCAAACTGGCTTGCCACAAACATTTCCCATGTTTTTATATTTCATTCAGTCATTGATTCTTGGTTTTGATGACTTGTTGCGATTAGAGTAGATTGCATTGAACAGTTTGTAAAGAATAAACAGGTACCTTATCTAAGCTTTTCCTGATCTCTCCCAGCATGGCCAGAACATCTTTGGCTGCTATCACTCCTGAAACAGAACAGTTTGGATGACAGCATCAGACAGGCACTCAGCTCCTACTTTTTCAACAGTGTTGGAGCATACCATGCTCTGATGCCACGTTCATGAGCAGTTGATGTTGCTGGTGCATGGGCTTGCTCAAGTACAGTACCCATGATCCCTCAGGGCTGTTCATTCTGCGAGCAAAGACTCTCTCCAGTATCCTCAACAAGCGTATGCCTTTGTCTGCTCGGAACTCCTCCTGTGGACAACATAAAGGAGTAGTACGAGCAGTAATTTATTGTTTTAAAAAAATAAAAAAACGCCTTGCACTCATTCAACACAACACAAAGCATACACAGTCTAAACAGTCTCTCCCCCATCACAATCTTTCCTCTGTGTTCTTCTATTTCTAATATATTTTCATGTTCCATCATATGTTTTTAATAAATCTGGTCTAAGTTGATCTGAACAGTAACTCATCACACTGAGATACACATTATAAAGTAGTTCTAAAATTTTTATCCGGCTTTTTTGGCCTCTCATTTTTGTTTATTTTGTGTTTTTGTGTTTGTTTGAAAAAAATATTGTTATAATTATTGTGTAAATTATAACTATTACATTTGTGCAAATGTTCTTAAAAGTTTTGTCAAGCACTTTGGATTGCCATTCCATTCTATTTGTTCTTCCGCTTCATCCGTTGCCGGGTCACGGGGCAGCAGTCTAAGCAGAGATGCCCAGACTTCCCTATCCGCACACTTCCTCCAGCTCGTCCGGGGGCATCCAGGAGGCATCCTGAAAAGATGCCCGAGCCACCTCAACTGGTTCTTATTGATGAGGAGAAGCAGCAGCTCTACTCTGAGCTCCTCCCGTGTGACCAAGCTCCAGCTTACACTGGTCTGTCGGGTTGATAATGGAAAATGGGGAAAAAAATCAATCTAATCAATTCTAAAAATCAATCTAAAAAATCAATCTAATAAATATTTTGTTTGAACACACTATTGTTAATCATATTGAATACAGTACGATACATGTATTGAATGAAATTTATTATTTCCATTATCAACCCGACAGACCAGTGTAAGAGTGTAGAGTTGCCACAGGACGCGTCATCAGCCTACGTCAGCAGCCGCGGACTGCTATGAAAACATTAGCTTTGTGGTTTCACAGGCGCAGTTGACTGCTTAAACTAAATTTTGCACAAAACTTTGACTCTTAAAACCCACATGTGACAAAACGGAACCATCAACATCTCGCCTCAAATTGCATTAAAAGTGACATTCGTGTCTTAATTCGTTCGTATTTCAACTTTTAAAGCAATTCACGGTCCGCCATCTTGGTATGCTTCGGTTGCCGTGAGACGCGCATGCGCAGGTTTGCATTACATCATAAACAGCTGAGGCAGTGCATCTCTTCAAGGCAGTGTATCTTGGCGTTACACCGGCAATGCGAACGCAGCTCTGGCTCCGGTCATACAGGGACCGGACGGCCCTCAGTAGAGGACTCCGGACCCCGTACTCCTGGAGAACCCCCAAGGGACACCCCGGGGAACACGGTTGAACGCCTTCTCCACAAAGCACATGTGGACTGGTTGGGCGAACTCCCATGAACCCTCGAGTATCCGATGGAGAGTATAGAGCTCATTGATTCTTGGTTTTGATGACTTGTTTGAAACCAATGGTCTAAACTTACTGATTAGCATGGTATTCATGAGAAATTATGAAACTGACATACTTGGTTCTGTTGTTTTGTACAAAAAATACAAAATTGTGATTTCAAATCAAGTGATGTCTGGGGTACTTGGATGGGTCACTCACACAGTTGAGGTTCTTGGTCATATTGAGGACCACATAGCCGCGTCCAGCCAGCTCAGTCCAGTCTATGCACACCACCTAAAAGGAAAGATTCAAATGTTCAGTTCCTGCACCTATGACCAAAGCCTACATGTTTTACATGGGAATTTCTAAAAGCCTTTTGACATTAAACTATCAACACAATACATGTGAAACTCTAAATAATATAATGACGTTCAAAAGTCCATTTAATTTATATCAGTAAGTAAATAATATATCAAGCCTTCATTTGATATGTTGATAATTGACGTTCAGCTTGTTACATTACAGAAAATTAGACTATTTTGAAAATAAGCCACGATCATCCAAATGATAACAAACGAAGGCTTAGCATGTAATCAGTCTATATCAGTGTCTCCCAAAGTGGGGTCCGCGGCCCCCTGGTGGGCCGCGAGGGTACTGCAGGGGGGCCGCGGGAGGTCAAAAAAAAAAATATATAATTATTTAATGTTAAATTTATAATGTTTTGTTTGTAATATTAAAATATTTGTGTTCATTATTTGACTTGAATAATCCACTGTAATCATTTTTGTATTACAATGTTTGTAGCAGAGGCTATTTCCCCAAAATAAAATAACCAGAAGAGCCGATTCTTAATGTTGTCTTCTTGGTTATTATTTTGGGGGGCCACGCAGACCCGTCAGATTTTTAAGGGGGCCTCGGTGTTACTGAGTTTGGGAATGGCTGGTCTATATCATAGATTGGTTTCACATTTTAAGTTGTTGTTCAGATTGTTACAGAACAACAGACTGATTCACATTGCTCCTGTGAAAATAAAAAAGGACATTATTTTGAAAAAAAAAACCTGCTGTTCTGGTCCTATTCCTCCCAGATCTTTACTCTGAGCCACCATCTCAGTGACCCCGCTTCCCAGCACCTCTGCACTGTAGCCAGGAGGGGGAGACGTCTTTTGCAGCCAGTTATTCCAGGACAGTTTGGTGAAGCCAATAGTCGGGGTGGGCTCCATGCTGAGAGGGACAATGGCTTGCACTTTATCATCAGGTTCCTGATCTCCTGGGCACAAAGACATTTTGGCATGAGAATATAATTGATTGTAGTGTAGTATTTGAAAAAGTAGTTTGTAAAGTATCGGTAGTTGCGCTCTTTCAGTTACAAAAAGTTAAAACTATCAGATGGATGTGTCATAACCAGTCTTGAGTGTAATGCATTAACGAAATAGAATTTGGGTTAACGTAGCGAAATAATAATGCAGGGGGGGAACTGCACACTACCGCTGTATGCGTGCCTCTGTGCTTACATCACGTTGAACACATGAGCGTCAACCATTGTATATATTAACGGACGTAGTCACGCCTATCTCCGCCGTTCAAACAAATGGGCCAAAAAATTTGCTCTACTGGAGCTATCCAAAATGGCCGCAAGTGGTCCCGGCCACAAGAAAATTATGAAAAAGCGCATCTGCGCATGCGTCAGCCGGCGCAAGCTCCATTCATTTTAACGAGAGACTTCAAAAATTCACAGCAAGTAAACTAGAGTGGTCCAAAAAATTCACTCCCCTCAGCATTGACACACTTTGCTGAGGGGCCAAGAACCAACTTTTGGACCATCCTGTAAAGACGTTTTCGAGAGGTCTGCCAATGCTATATGTTAGCATTGGCTAATTCTTATTCCTGGTCCACCCCCATCGGCCCGGGGTGGTATTGCAAGCATGTCAGTGCACATCATTTTGGCCACTTTTGAGCCGGGACCCGCCCCCACTGGCGTCAACACTTACAGTCTATGGTCAACGCAGTCAACACTGGTCACAACTAGGGCTGGCCGAAAAAACGATAATGATATATATTGCTATAGACACGTGTTCGATATCAATAGAAAATGGGGTCAATAGAATGTTCGATAGTTTAACTTTACTCCTTTAGAAAAAACAGGACGTAAAAACAGGAAGTAAAGCAGAGTCAGAACTGCGCTGCATTCGGGGGGACGTAGGCAGAGGCTTTTTGACCTATCACGGGCGAAACATAAACAAAAATGTAAACCAAACAAGTCCGGGAAACGATTAAAACTAAATTTGTCCTCGTCACGCTTGCTGTTAGCACAATGAAACACGGCACAATTGTATGGTATTGCTTCAAAGAACTTAAATGACCCTTGAAAGACTAATGTGACATTAGAGAGTGTGGCGATACAGCTACAGCAGCGTACTGCACCACCAGAATGGCCGACCTCCGGTAAGCCAAGCCTTTTTTCACAGGATGTGAGGTCACGTGAAAGTCATCTATAGTGGTGTTGTGGTTAGCGTTAGCAATAATTTATGTTCACAGCTAGCGCCACCAGTGCTTACTAAGACAAGCCCTCATTGGTCCTCTTTGGTTGTTTTCTCATTTGCTCTTTACCATCCATTTGATTTCGTCATGGTCTATCTTTGCCTCGTTTTGCCTCTCCTTTCATTCGTGGACAAAAATGATGATCAATTTAGTTATCGTCTGCATCTCAATGAATGACTCCTGTTCTAGTTTTGTTTTGTTTTTGTCCGCAAAAATATATTGTCTGTGACTAAAACTAAAATTAATTTTCGTCAAAAGACAAAGACTAAAACAAAATGAGAATTTCTTGTCAAATTTAACACTGCCAATACCAGTATCGGTATTTCTAAAACAAACATACAAACTTGATTCGGTTATCTTTTTGTGACATAAAGTAATCAAAAAGTAGTTCTTGGGGCAGTAACTGGGTAATGTAACAGATTCAGATTCAGATTCAGTTTATTTGCCATTTGCAGTAAAAAAAACCACATTGGAATACATTAGCGAAAAGTCTCCAGTGTGCACAGACAAATACAGACATAAAACAACATTAAAAGACAAAAATAAAACAAATAAAACAGTAAACAAATGTCACTGTGAAATTGATCGACTAAAACAGTTCAAAACAAGTGCAAATCATTAAAGTGCTCTGTTCACACTGATAACAGCTTGTGGATAAAAACTGTTAGCGTAACGAGATGTCCTGCATCTCAGAGAGCAATATCTTCTGCCAGAGGGAAGAAGCTGGAACATGGCTTTCCCAGGGTGGCCAGAAGAGTCATTAACAATCCTAAGAGCTTTGTTTAAAAGTCTGGATTTATAAAGAACCTCCAGAACAGGAAGCTCACAGCCCACGGTCCTCTTTGCAGAGCGGAGCACCTTGTTTAAAGCTCTCTTTTCTGTGTCTGTGTGGTTTCCAAACCACACAGACACAGAACCAACAAGTAAACTCTCAATGGTGCAGCGATAAAAGTTAAGCAGAATCTTAGAGTTAGTGGTAAATTCTCTAAGTTTACGCAGAAAGTAGAGACGCTGACGAGCTTTCTTAACGACTCGGTCAGTGTTTTTAACCCATTTCAGGTCGTTAGACAGAGTTAAACCCAGAAACTTGCACTCCTCTACGATCTGCACCTGGGAGTTGTCGATTACGACAGGCAAATGAGAACTATTGCGACTGAAGTTCTAGACCAGTTCACATGTTTTCGATGCGTTCAACTGGAGGTTGTTAGTTTTACTCCACTGAACCACATTTTGTATCTCTGCTCTATAAGAGGATTCATCAGTGTCACTGATGAGACCGATGATGGTGGTGTCATCAGCATATTTGATGATCAAGTTTGAGTCAGAGGAGGACTCAAAATACATCCCTGAGGAGAAACAGTGCTCACAGAAACAACATCAGAAAAACAGTCATTGATTTTCACTCTCTGAGATCTGTCAGTTAAAAAGCTAAAAATCCATTTACACATGGCAACACTTAAACCGAGAGACATGAGCTTTTCAATCAGTTTACCTGGGACAAGGCAGTTAAAAGCAGAGCTATAATCGATGAAAAGCATTCTCGCGACAGATTTACTAGTGTCCAAGTGACTGTAGACAGAGTTCAGAACAAAGGAGATGGCATCCTCCACACTCCTGTTCTGTCTGTAAGCAAACTAATAGGCCTATTTCACGGTTGACGTCACAATGCGGAAGAAAATTAACATGCGTGTATTACCACTTCCGGTGTGCTGTTACTGTAAATGACAACTAGAATGGATTTGGTCAGTGCGATCAATTTCTCAAAATCCTTGCGGAATTGGCCGAAAATCACGATGGGAGACGTGATACGAATAGCATCTGAGATGTCACTTACACATTGTTCAAAATTGGAAAAGGGCTACAAGTTGTTAGTGGAAAAATACGTGTTCATACTATGAAGGTAAGTCACCATGTCTGACGGATTTGTGCTCAACGCTGTATTAAAAGGTGTTTTGTACAAGTTTTAATTAGCCTTAGTTCATTTAACTTGGAATTAGAGCTAAATAAAAGTAAACAAATGAACTTGAACTAACTAAGCAGGCCCTTCCTGTAATTGTTATTCCCAACAAGCATTAAGTTAATGCTTCTCCGACCTGCCTTGACCGCTAAAACGAAACACTGCTCATGATAGTTTTGTCAAAGGACAACCACCTGCTCACACACGCCATGAGTTATGTGTGGATTTACATACTATGTAATGGAGCAGTGAAAATACGCTTTTGCTGGGTGTACCAAAACAGTTTGATAATGCTATACCGTAAGCATGAGCGTCATAAAAAATATGTATTTAGATTTGAAATATATAGTATGCATATTGTTGATCACTTTCACGTGTCAAAAGTTTGACTTATCATTCTAATATTTATGAAGTATAAAGAAATGATTAATATTTGTTTAAATGTTTTGTTTTTTATTGTGTATTATATGTAAATGGCGTGTCAGGAATAGTAGGAGGAGAAGTGGAAGTTCGGGCAAGATCCTACAGGTCTATGAGAAAGCGTGATGTGCCACATAACCTACAGGTTTACTTTGAAACACTGCTATTTACTGCAGTTGCAGTTTGTTCTCATCCAGTTAATAAAGTTGCTGCTGGTGCAGCGAGTTCTGTTTTCTCTTCTGCGTTATTATCTGTTGTCATTCTACATGATCTGTGTGCGCCTGCTAATAGTGACTGATTTTTTTTTCATCACAGGTAAGCCTGAAATCTGGAGAGGTTCCTGTGAAGATGATGTCCACCAGTTGTTACTGCGCTTCAGGAAAGATTTTGTGCAACCATCTGGTCGCACTTCTCTATCAAAGACTACATTTCATCACCCTGAATTTGAATGTGGTTCCTGCTGATCTGTCCTGCACTGAAGAGTTAAAACCCTGGCATAGACCACGTACTCAGGTTAATGTTAATTATATATATATCTTTTTGAGGAGTTAGGCAAGGTAAAGCTAATATAATTCACATTCATAACCACACTTTGGACCTTGTCCTGACCTACGGTAGTTAGGTTTCCAATATTAACGTCCTGCGTCAAAGCTCGTTCCAGTCTGATCATTTCTTGATCACGTTCAATCTTGCTTTGGAGGACTTTCCTGCGCCGCAAGATAAAACCATAATGAAAAGAACCTTAAATGCTAAATCTATCACAAGGTTCAAAGAACTAATACAGCCGATGTTGAATACCGCTGCAGGTGAACCTGCTCACAACTGCTCCAGTCCCATTGACCAAACAGTGGACAACACTATCGCGTTTTAAAAATCTGCATTAAATGCAGCAGCTCCTATAAAACAGAAAACTATTAGGATTAGATTATCATTGCCATGGTACAATATTAAACTGCAAACTTTAAAACGGAATGTTAGAAAACTGAAGAGGCTATATCGCCACTCCCACTCTGACCCTGTCCACAGGGACTGGAAAGCAGGTCTCCGAAACTACAAGAATGCCCTTCGCAGGCCCTTACTCAACTTTAATAGAAGCGAATAAAAACAGCAGTAGATTTTTGTTTAGCACCGTTGCTAAACTCACAACCTGCCATAGCGCAATGGAGCCTAAAATACCAAGCTCACTGAGCAGTGTTGATTTTTTTCACTTCTTTGATAATAAAATTACATCCATCCGTGACAAACTAGAGGAGGTTACTCCTGCTGTTGGTGATGGACAGGCTGAAGCGGCGTACTTAACTTCCCACTTGGACTCTTCAGTGGGCCTCGACAAGTTCATGGCTGTGAGCCAAGCAGAAGTGATATTCG